AAAAGCCATTTATTTCGACAACTGGCAAAAAGAATAACTTATATATATATTTATTTTTTCGAATCTGACAACATCAATTACGTAGAAGTAATAAGACTGATTCTTACCTGTTTTGGGAAAGCACGATATCTTGCAATTAACTTCCAAAAATCATCAACTGACTCAAGATTCATACAAGATTTCACAATTCTTTCTAACTCTATATGCACTCCCTCCAAGTGATTGATTGGGTAAAAATACCTGAAAATATTTATTACACAGTAAGAAAACTATGAATAACCTGGCACCTGATGTTAGTTTTTAAATGCACTCAAAGTAACTTTTAACACATTATTAGCCAATACAAGCATTTCATAATTGTGAAGTTTAATGATATATAAAGTCTGTAAGAATATTCATCATTCCATGACTCTGAAGATACTATTCAGACATGCTCAAACTTCTAGTATCACAATATATAAGAAAATAAGTGCACCCAAAAACTATATTGTACAGGTTGTTTATTTGTTTGCTTCAGATATTTGCCCAAAGCTAGACAAGGGCTATCAGTGTTAGCTATCCCTAGCTTTGAACTGGTAGACAAGAGGGAAGACAGCTACACAAAGCTACACAAGGGCTATCTGTGCTCTGCCCAAAACGGGTATCGAAACCTGGATTCTAGCGTTGTAAGTCAGCAGACATACCGCTGTGCCACTGGGAGCATGACAGTTTGAACCAAAGACCTTTGGCTTACACATATTTCCCCGAGATTAGTGTTCTTCCAATTGAATCAGCAGAATTACATTCTCAACCATATACCTTTCCAACATGACTGTTACAATGTGTTAAAAGATTTGCAAGAAATATTACTAATATTTCAGATTTATTACTTAATATTTGACCAATTAAATAAATAGTAATTTTTTTGGAAAAGCCATTTCCTGAATTTCAATATGGAATATTTGTAAACTGATGAATGCTAGACTAGCAGAAAATAATTGAAGCAGTACTATAGTAACACTTTACACCAAGCAAGGAGTAAGATAAATGTTTCATA